TTTTAATTATATATATATATATATATATATATATATATATATATATATATATATATATATATATATTATGAAATGGACAAAAGTCCGACAATTATTTTAAGACATTTTTATGTTTATACATTTTCTTTTTATTGATAAAAATATTTAAGTAAAATATATAAAATATATGTATAAACATAAAAATTTCTTCAAATAATTGTCGGACTCAGAACATTTCATAATGTGTGACGTCATTTGTTTACATTTGGATACGCATGGAGCAGATATGAATGTATGTGAGAGAATCATGGAAGATTGTAGTCTAAAAACAGTAAAATCGACATTGCTGACCAAACGCTCCTCGGTGGCCAAATCGGTTATATGACGGTTCCGTATAAGATACAGGTTCGATTCCTGGCGGAGGACGAATATTTACAATGAAAATTTCTCAGACATTCAGGCCAGTAAATGTAGTTCAGTACTTTTTATTATAGATAGAGCATTTACTTAAATATTTGCATCTATAAAATAAACGTATAAACATGAAAATGTCTTTTTTTTTTTTTATATATATATATATATATATATATATATATATATATATATATATATATATATATATATATATATATATATTCTAAATTACGCAAAAAATAAAACTGACATAACAGTTATATTTACCAAAAATATCTTGAAATACTAAAGAGTAATTTTATTCAATAAAATCATCCTTGGCTTCAGCCACGGCCTCCAGACGACTTCGGATTCTTCTGGACGGTATCCTTTTTTAAGTTGGTGAATGCTGCCATTATCCTTGCCTTCAGTTCATCTTTGGTGTTACAAAGAGATTTGCTGTTCTATTACTCAACTGCACCCCACACATAATAATAAAAGGAGATGCCTTCTGGGGAGTTAGGCGGATAGATGTAAGGAGTGATGTGGTAGCAGAAATTGTCTGACACCTATGACTGACTTCTCCTGGCATGGCGCAGAGTCCTGTTGCTAGACATTGTGTCTTCCAGCAGCCACACTCTTGACCTGGGCAGTACTACCTCCCCAAGGCACTAGATGTAGGCCTCCATGTTGAGTCTGAGGCCTTCAACAACAAATACAGCAGTTCTTTTCTTATCAGAACGATCAAAGTGAGTTTTCCGTGCTGCCGTACTTTCGTAATCACCATTAAATGCCTCAAAACTTTTCCGAATCCTCTGCAATGATACCCAAACACTCTGAAATGTCCACATTGGAGCTTCCGACGTGAATGTCAGGCAGTACAGCATGTCGTTTCCTGATTTCAGGCGGAGTGAATTGAGCCATCAACTGACGCTTCACAAACAACCTTACTATACTGTGCATTCGACAAAACAAACAACGCGCATGCGCGATATTAAAAAAATAAAACTGGCGACAATTTACTAATCGTGACCTGTATTATTTAAAGATATATGAAAAATTTATATATAAAATTTATATATTGTTACACAATATATATATATATATATATATATATATATATATATATATATACATGTGTGTTTTTGCACGACAATCATCCATATATTTTTTTAAGCATTTCACCCCAAGCAAGGCGGGAAGCCACTAGGACGCAAGAGGTTACAGAAAATTTAGAGCAAGATCAGATAGGAGTGATAGAAGAAAGGATGAGGGTAGTGGATAGATCAAGGCAACTGGATATGTCGATTGACATTACACTTGAATAGCTGGAGATTATAGCTCACAGGGAAACAGGAAAAGGGAAGAGAGTTTCAGAGGCGAGAGGTGCGAGACATGAAGCTATTAGAGTAGAAGAGACGGCTACATTTAGGAGTTTCGACAGTGAAGGGGTGAGCGGGATGCCAGCCTCGTAAGGCGCTGGAACTCATGACGTCTGGGAACCAGCGAATGCAGCTCCTCGGGCAATTTCCATGAAATATTTGTATTTATATATATATATATATATATATATATATATATATATATATATATATATATATATAAATTTAAAAGAAAAGCAGACCACTTTAAGGTATCATTATAATAATTTATTTCACAGAGGCCCTTTTAAAGGACGCCGGATCATCAGATAGCACTTCCAAAAATGAAATGAAACGAAAAAAAATTTTTTTGGAAGTGCTATCTGATGATCCGGCATCCTTTAAAAGGGTGAAATCCGTGAAATAAATTATTATAATGATACTCAGGATTTCATCCTCCTTGGGATTAGTACGGGTCTGTAACTTTTATATTTATAAATATTATATATGGATTATATATTGAGTTGCTTAAATAAGGATTTCATCCTCCTTGGGATTACCCAGGTACACAATATTTACAGTTAGTTTGGATTACCAAATTCTTCATAACTGGATTCAATTTCTTAATCTCTATATATATATATATATATATATATATATATATATATATATTAGGTTGGGTTGCAAAAAATAATGACGTAATAATGTCGTTTTTTGACTACTTTTCTACGTTAAAAACGACATTCTTACGTCATTATTTTTATATATATATATATATATATATATATATATATATATATATATATATATATATATATATATATATATATATGAGAGAAAGAGAGAGGTTATATTTGTGTTAAGACTTATGCAATGAACAAATCTAAAGGTTAAAACACAAATTTAACCTGACATTTAGGAGTCTGTTCAATATGCCAGACCTGTCTGCGTTTTGCTCACATCTGTGCTGAGAAATAAAACATATTCTATAATTACCGATGTATTCTCTTTTATTGAAGACATAAACAGACAAGATGCAAGGAAAGTAAATCCATACCAGACATGGCATTTTCCGCCCGAGCAATATCAGCCTTCATTATATTCCCTATCTTCATCAGGGCACAGATTAGCACGTTTTGGAAGTTAAGAAATGGATTTAAATATGCGTCAGAATCAAAGAGGTGCATTATGGGATTGCATAAAACCACTCAAATCAAATGGAAGCTTGAGTCGATTGATTTATTCATATCGATCGTTATAGAATTTTTACCATTACGAAGCAAACATTTTTTTTTATTTTATTTTTAAAGGAAAGAAAAACAGAGACAAGAATAAAGAGAAACAAATTATTTAAATTTTTGGGGTTTATTTTTTCTATATTTTCGTTTATTTTTTCGATGGAATTTTGGTTTGCATTTTGTTCATAATACCTCTGTATGCACCTATTGTGTTTTTGTGCCATCTTTTTCAGTTTTATCCTTTTTTAACTATCTATTGGAATTTTAAAGTACCACGTCTTCAAACATTTGTTGTTGTTTTTTACTTATAAAAGTATATTTTTCTAAAATTTGTATAAAATTATCTTGATTTAAGATTTTGGGTTAATGTTTCTAGTATATATAGTTTATGTGAACTTGTATTTTGTGTTACTGATAAGGATTTGTCGAATGTCTTTTGTTTAGTTGTTTTGATGATATGGGCTTTAACTGAATAATTATCGAAAATGACAGGTTAATCGGCGCAATAAAGTAGCGGTTGTGTAACCAATGTATGTACTATTTCAATCATCATTATTATTTTTATTATTAGAGCCATTCTGTAAGTGGAAAAATGAATTCATAGACATTAGTTTCTTGAAGTTTCATTTTTTGGGGGGGTGATCATATTGAATTTGTTGAAATACTTTTTGTAATGAGTGATGAAGAGTTTAATTTATTTGTTTTTCAACAGATGCTATGTAATAGATATTATAACATTTTGTTTTGATTTTTTTTACTAATGTTCACCCAATACGAGGTTCAAGATGGAAGGTTACTAAATGAGGTGTGTTATTTGAATGTAAGTGTAGAAAGTGAAGTTATGGAGGATAGTTAACGATTCTACTTGAATTGAAAAGGTTAAAATCGTAGCAAGCTGGGAAGCAACTACGTGGGAGTCTGTTCCATAATGTAAGACTTCTTAAGAAAAAATGACAGTAATGTCCTCTTTGCTGTTGGTGTATGGGAGAAATAAGGGTGATTCGACTCCGTGGACGTAGCATGGAGGTTCTTAGCTGTAAAGGGGGTGGAAGTAAAGAATGAAGTTAGTCACAGCATTTAACATGCTTGTGGTTATTGTGTAGACAAGAGAGTTTGTTGAAAAGTCATCAGTGCGACCAAGAAAGGATTTAAAAATAAATTCTTGAAGTTGGTCATGTGGTCAGGTCTTCGGAGGTTGATCAGGCCAGGTATTTTTTGCAACCAATTAATTATTTAATGAATACTTGTGCGCGTGTTTTGCTTTCGTGGGTGGCGGCTGCCTCGGGCCATTCGCTTGTGAGGAGTTCATAGTCGCCGTCCGCTTGTATAAATAGGTGCGAATAATGGAAGTGACAAATTAAGCGACTCGTGAGCAGTGAAGCTTTTAGATTTTTTTTCACTTTTTTAAAAGATAAAAAAGTAATATTTATACTATATACGCATATATATAACATTCTATATATATATATATATATATATATATATATATATATATATATATATATATATTATATTAGTAAATATACACATACATATGCAAAATATATAAATATATATACATAGATGCATACACATACATATATATTTTTTGAATAAAAAATTCCAAGAGGACAGAATCCAGGTAGAACTCAATGTCCAGGAGGGAGAATATAATAAAAAGGTTTTAAAACTAATACTCCATGGTCATAATTTGATGAATTGGATCGTATTTTCGATTCCAATGGAATAAATTATGACCATGGAATATTAGTTTAAACTCTTTTTTATTATTATTATTATTATTATATATATATATATATATATATATATATATATATATATATATATATATATATATATATACACACACACATGTATATATGGTAACTGTCACTTCTTGATAGAAGGAAACCATCTTCACTACAACTTTCTTTTATCTTTTTATTTATTTTTTTTTTTTGATAACTTTCGGGCTCACTGATTAGAAGCGCAGATGACTTTTAAAGCAGCTATAATTTAACAAACATTTGCGGAAATGTTGCACCTGAAAATGAGATCATCCATGACACCCCCCCCTCCCCAGGTACGGCATCAACGTGAATTTTCATGCCTTGTTAATCCAGATGTTGATTTGCATACTTTATGGCAGAATATACAAGAATGGACAAAGATTGATTTCTGCTTTCTTTCACTGCATCGAGCCAACATGCATATATATATATATATATATATATATATATACACACACACATATATATATACATATATATACATACACACATATATAGATAGAGACTCACGCACACACACACACACACACACACACACACATATATATATATATATACATAAATATATCTAAAGAATTAATAAGCTTATTTTTTATGACATTTTTATTGTTTCACACTTTCTTTTTAGTCGACACCCGTTTTTTTTTTTTTAAGCATTGTGCCCCAGGCAAGGCGTGAAGCCACTAGGATGCAGGGGGTTGCGGAAGATTTGGAGCAAGAGCAGATAAGAGTGATAGGAGAAAGGAAGAGGAGAAGGATAGTGGGTAGATCAAGGTAATTGGAGATGTCGATTGACATTACATTTGAATAGTTGGAGATTATAGCTTTCAGGGAAACAGTAATTGGGGAGGGTGTTCCACTGGCGAGAGGTGCGAGGTATGAAGCTATTGGAGTAGAAGAGACGGCTACATTTGAAGGTTTCTACGGTGTAAGGGTGAGAGCGGGATGCCAGCCTCGTAGGGCGCTTGAATTCATGGAGTCTGGGAACCAGAGAGAGCAGCTCATCAGATAGACGCGGTATTTTTTTTTTTTTTTGACATTCTGTATTATCTGTATCTATCGGCCTGTGTACTCGAGAAAGTTTAATAATGAACATGTGTCCTCCAGCAGGGCTTGAACCTGCGTCCCTGGTTTTAGGGGAAAAGAAACCCTTAACCCAGTACGTCACCCGCCTCCGAGAGCACATTCGCTTCATTAAGTCTTGGTGTGTTCGGAGGCCAGTAGTCATGTGACAAACGGTTAAAAAAAAACAAACAAACAAACAAAAAAAACATTTATTTCAAACACGGGTATTCACTAAAAATAACGTTTGAAATAACATATATACGTGTGTGTCTGCGTATGTGTGTATGTGTGTGTGTGTGTGTGTGCATGTGTGTGTATGTGTATATGTGTGTATATGTGTGTGTATGTGTGTGCATGTGTCTGTATGTGTATGTGTGTGTATATGTGTGTGTGCATGTGTGTGTATGTGTATGTGTATATGTGTGTATGTGTATGTGTATGCATGTGAGTGTATGTGTATGTGTGTATATGTGTGTATGTGTATGTGTGTGTATATGTGTGTGAATGTGTGTGCATGTCTGTGTATGTGTATGTGTGTGTATGTGCGTGTATGTGTATGCATGTGTGTGTATGTGTATGTGTGTATATGTGTGTGTATGTGTGTGCATGTGTGTATGTGTGTGTATGTGTGTGCATGTGTGTGTATGTGTATGTGTGTGTATATGTGTGTGTACATGTGTGTGTATGTGTATGCATGTGTGTGTATGTGTATGTGTGTATATGTGTGTATGTGTGTGTATGCATGTGTGTGAATGTGTATGTGTGTATATGTGTGTATGTGTGTGTATATGTGTGTGAATGTGTGTGCATGTCTGTGTATGTGTATGTGTGTGTATGTGTATGCATGTGTGTGTATGTGTATGTGTGTATATGTGTGTGTATGTGTGTGCATGTCTGTGTATGTGTATGTGTGTGTATATGTGTGTGTATGTGTGTGTGTGTGTGTTTGAAAATTTATTGTCAGTTTCTTCTTTTAATAAGATATTTATTTATGTCATAAATATCAAAATGTCATCTCAGCGTGAAGCAATGATTAGCAAGATCCTCTTGCAATAGGTTGGTGCCGCTTTGGCAAGTTTGTTTCTCAGACCTGTCGCCTTCTGCCAGATTGACATTAGTTTAGTAGTTAACTAAATATCAGATAGAATGCCAGATAAATGTCTGTAAAAACCAAATTTACTCCCACTTCAATTGATATTTATCAGCTGATAACAAAAGGAAAACTTTCCAGAAATATCAAATGCGGAATAATTTCGTGGGATTTTAAAATTGTATTAACCTTTTGCGAAATGCATAAAATGTTTTTAGTTGTTGTTACAGGTATTACATTTGATCTTGTTTCATATCTCTAGCTAACACAGTCTCTTATTCAGGGCCGGTACAAGAGGTTTCATGCTCTCACGGATCTATTCTGAATAATTCTTCGTAATTTTCTAGCGGGGTGTCGGGGTAGTACACACGGGCCTAGATCTTACAGGAACTTTTGAAAACCGAAAAATTCTGTAAAGTTGAACATTTTCTTCATAAATTTGCCCGTAAAAAATTACGTTTGGCGGTAAACATAAAACTATCGAAATAATATTAATTACTTTGTAATTTACCGTCCTTCTTTACGGCAACGAATGTTGGACGATTTCCTCAAAGATGAAGAAGAGACTCGAGGCGACAGAGATGTTGTTCTACAGAAGGATACTAAGGATATCATGGACCGAGCGTATGAACAACGATGAGATCAGAAAATCACCATAATTATCTCTATCTATAAAATGTAGGATGTGTGTGTGTGTGTGTGTAAAGAATGCACGGCCGCAATTTTTGACGGATTTGCACCAAAATTTACATGCACATGCTCCAAGTTAGCAGGAAGGCCAAGACCGACTTTGCATTTCCCAGCTCCCATCGATAGTGGAATTAATCGATTTTTTCATGCTTCTACGGCAGTTTTCATGTAGTTTGCGGCCATTTTCTACTGGCCAGAGTGAGAGCCTATAGCTGGCTGCCACGAATAGGCAGGAAGATTCTATTGGCCAGCATGAGAGCCAACAGCTGACTGACACGAATGTTAATTAGCATGCTAGCATGCAAAAAAAAAAATCGATAGCTGCATTCGTCACAAATGGGAAAAAATTTAAATCTGCATGGCACTTTACTCCAATTGGCTCATTCGCTTGCTTAAACTCAACGTTGATTCTGATTCCGCAGAATTGGGTTGAGTGTGAAAAAGTATTTGTTGTTAACATTCTTTTTTTATTCTGTTTTTCCAGTTACGAGTCCTTTTTTTTAAAGCTGATCGTTTTGTGTTCATTTTGTTTAGTTCTTTTTTCGTAACAGATTTAATGTTTAGTATAGAGCTTAGAAAAAATTCGCAGTGTGAGAAGTAAGGCATGTAGCAACATCAGCACAGCAAAGGGCACTTCTTTAAAGGCAAGGAAGGGCAAAAATATTTTAAGTCAAGTGATAGAAATTGCTGTATGAGTCGTACGATTTTTGAATCAAGCAAGGGCAACGCCGGACCATGCTGCTAGTATTACAATAGAATGTGTATCTTAAATGAATATATGAATAATACCTCATGAAAATTGAGTTGTAGTATAGTGGAGAGGCTCATATCAATTACGACTGAGTAGTGACGAAAAACAGGCAACTAAAAGGACTTTGGACAGATATGAAAAAATTAAAAGCCACCCACGAGTGTCCGCTGACCGATTTCCTTCGACGGAACATCCTTGGCCTGCGATAATAAAATTATGTTATCTGAAATATGTACCGAAGGGAAATGAATGGGAATTTAGAAATGTCTTTTCGGGGCGACGTTGGCCGTGTTAAGAAGACCACCCATTCGGATAATTAGCGATAAAATACCTGACGAAAACCACGTGTAGAACAAGAGTTATGACCGCCATTGTTCATATTGTCCCGTTTGCGGCTAGAGAAATGATAACGGCGATTAAGAGGAAGAAAAGGAAAAGAAGGGATAATTTGTTTTAGTTAAGCAAGATTTTTTTTTCCTGAAACAAAGCCGCGGATTCGTCAACGCCCGACTAAGACATCATTGGTCAAGTGGTGATCACGTGACGCACGAAGGAGGCTGTCGCCGCCCATCCAGAGTGTAGGTATGAGAAGCTGCTACGAAGAAGTGGGGAGGGCAGTTCACGCCCTCTGAAGTATGGTGAGAAGGTGGGAGTGAGGAAAGGTTCCCAAAAATGGAAAAAAGTGGAAATTCCTAACCAGAGAGGTGGATATGTATTTAGAATTATCGAGGAAACCCCGACGCCGACAGACCCACCCCGGTTTTGGTCGGCGTCCCATAAGCGAAGCCACAACGAGCAGAAATCAGTTCCAGTGAGTTCCAGTTCCAATTTCAGTTTGAGTTGGAGTTGCAGCGAAGAGTCAGTCTCCAGTTGAAGCCGCCTCGCAGATAGCTGACCAAGATTCACGCAAATTCCGGACTCCTCTTCAACCTAAGAACAATTATTTTGAAGAGCGACTTAGATCCAGACCACCGAAATAAGTTTTTTTTTCGACTTTCGTCCGAAGACACACCGAAACACCAATTTCTTAGAGAGCAAACAACTTGAAGCGTTAAAACTTGCCTAACGGAAAACGACGTGTCACGGGTCGGGAGATAGATGCAGTCCTATGTATCGAACAACTAGACATAAAGTTTGTTACCTTTTTCTTTGATATTTTGAACTTTTGAGTTTTCATTTTATTTTCTTTTATGCATATTTGTGTGGTATCTCCCCCGTTGAACCCGGTTTGCATTACGGCCCCAACCACTGTTTGATCTCGTCTGCCGAAGATCAATTCACAACGTGGGTAGGCAGACTGGGGATCAATGCAGTTACCTTGGTAACCAGGCGTTGGAAGCGAGTTGGGAACGACGAGGCTGATATCAAATCTAACCAAATTCCCACCCGAATCACCAAAAGGTTAGAACGTCACATTTGGGTGCCGCGACCGATACCAAGCCAGATGGTCGTCACAGGACGAGACAACACGACTGACGCGACAGGCGGACGTCACGTTTGAAGCAGCGACACCCGAACGGAGCAGCGAGGAGCGAACAGCTGGCGCCGCGGCGAGTACGTCACAATTGGTGCTGTTTAGGGACGTCACAGTTGGTGCCGTGGTAGACCAGAATAGAACGTCACAGTTGGCGCTGCGACCAGGGGACGACGTCACAGATAACAGACACGGAAAAGAAATTACAAAATCTCCTACAGAGGGTGGCGACGGAGAGTGTGAAGAAGGGACTAAGTATAAACTACAAGAAGACAGAATGCATGGTCATCAGTAAAAGGATAATCCCGAAATGCGATTTGTAGGTCAAGCAGACGCGGATGTTTAAATATCTGGAAAGCGTTCTTACAGAGGACGTTAAATGCGACACTGATATCCGTAGACGTATTGGGATGACGATGAACACATTCCAAAGGCTGGGTAGAGTATTGCGAGACATGGGGATTTCTTTGGTAACCAGAATACTGAGCTGCTACAGGACATCTGTCCTCCTTTACGGCAGCGAATGTTGGACCGAGCGTGTGAGCAACGATGAATTTTTGAAGAGGATGCAAACAAGGAGGAGGCTTATACTTAACATCATGAAGAGGCAGCTGAAGTTTCTGGGATACATAATGAGGAAGGAGGGCCTGGAGAATCCGATACTCACGGGTCGAATAAAGAGAAAGAGGGACAAGGAAAAACAACGCGTGACATACCTGGCGGGCGGGATGACATAACGTCGTCTGGGGGAGGAAGCTTAACTTTGCTTAAATCGTGTTTTTTTTTCTTTCTTCTGAAGTTATTCAACATCGCTTGAGAATGGAACAAAAATTTTAATTTTAATTTCTAGTTCCGAAAAATAGTAATTTTTGTGTTGCGATGTAAACATATTTCTAAATAATATTAAAATATTATGCCCTACTTTGTATCGAGCATTTTTTAAAAATATATGCTAAAGAACCGCGGATAAAACATGCGTTCTGTTTATAAGCAGTAGCTCGGATCTTGTTAGCCAGACGTTTCTCTGTAGATGAATGGTACAGCACGTCAGGTCAAATGAGGGTTTCCGTATAGGAATACAGATTCGATTCCTGTTGGAGAACGCATATTTTCTACAAAATTACTCGAATATTCAGGTCGGTAAATGTAATTAATACTGTTTAATTAAAAACAAATACTTAAACAAATTGTATCTATAAACAAAAAATATATTACATAACTGTTGGACTTAATCCATTTCATAATACCTATATATATATATATATATATATATATATATATATATATATATATATGTGTGTGTGTGTGTGTGTGTGTGTGTGTGTGTGTGTGCGCAAATATATAGAAAAATAGGAAAGGACACGTTAGGTAAATACTCGGAGTTCTTTAGTATTTTTGATTTTATTTTTTAAAAAACAGCGCTCCATATAATTTTACGAATGAACATGCTTATAAAGATGCGTAAATTTCAAGATTGGTTATTCCTAAATTTTCGCTTGAGGATGAAACAGGGCTTGATACTTTAATTCAATTTAATTTTAATAATTATATTGAGGGTTTTAGCTCTCGTTTTTGAAACATGAGAAGTCTTATGTAGCGAAGGAATCATATTTTAAAAAATAATTATAATATATATATATATATATATATATATATATATATATATAAAGAAAGAACAGTAAGATATATAATCCGGTGTTCTTATAGATATTTTTATTTTTACAAAATAGTGCTCAATGTAAATTTACAGAGCATTAATATTATAAATTAATTGATTTAAAATATGTTTTTTTTCGCTACACAGTTCTAACCATGTTTCAAAAATGGAAGCTAAAAGCTTCGAATTTAATTTAGTAATTAAACTAAAGACATTAGTTCCATTTCATCCTCATGCGAATTTTGGAGTAACTTATTTTAAAAATTACTGGGTTTTAAAGGCACAGCAAAAAATCATAATTCACGTTTCCAATGATACAAAGAAATCCATTTATCCAGACAAGGGGTGGTTGCTTGTTCATTATCGCTGTATTTTGATGTATCAGCTATTAGTTACCTTTTGGTAGGGGTAGGGATGTATTTTTCAATGAATTCTGACATCCGTTAAATGCATGTCGTCTGGATTTTTTTTTTAATTTATTGTTAACGGCAAAAATTCTTACGGCATTTTTTTCTATTTGAATACTTAAAGATTTTTGGGGGGTGTTTACGTTAGAATACGGTTTATTTAACTACGATTATAAAAATATTTTCACTTTTAATTTTTAATATACTATATTTCTTTTTAAAACAAGTAAATGTATTAGAGTCACTTACAGTATGTAAAATTATTTTCACATCAAGTATAAGTATGTATATTACTAGGTCACAATTTTAAAAAAAATTATATTTAAATATTATTTAAGTAAAATTTATGAAAATGACGGCAAAAATAGCTAATTTTTTCTCTAATTTAGTAAACTTTTATTTTTTATAAACCTAGTAATATATAGAGTCTCATGTAAGTACAAAGGACATGGGTCATTCAATGGCTTACATCTTCTAGCTTTTCATATTAAATTCATTTTACTGTAGGTGTTTTATTGGATTCTTTTAAGAGAGATGTGTTTAGGTTAGAATACGTTTTATTTAACTTCAATTTTAAAAGATGTTTAGGTTAGAATTCGTTTTAATTACAATTTTAAATACAACTTTAAAATATTTTCACTGTTATTTTAATAGACTATATTTTATATATATATATATAATACCTTATAAATAGCCATAATTGCGTTGATAGTTTAGAATGCGGACGCTTTTACCATCCTTAGCAAGTCACACTCAAATTACCACCTAAAAGTGTTGGAGGTCATCTATATTTTATCTTTAAAGCCGTCTCTATGTAAACAGAAGGACTTTCTATTAAGCCTCTAACTAATTACCATTTAATTTTTTTCCCCACCAATAAACTTTGTACGTTGTTCTTTTTTTGATTATATAATTTACTCGATTTATCTCTGTTGAGCGAGGTACGAAACCGGTTAGCCAGCCCGTTTTTCATTTTTACTTTTTTTTATTATTATCTATCTATCTATCTATCTATCTATCTATCTATTAGTCTCTTCAGTATCTATCTATCTGTCTAGCTAGTTATCTACAGAAGTGAAATATTGAGAAATTTGAATAAAAGAATATGAACGCGAAAATGAACTTTTAAGAAGCAACATATCCAATGCATTCAACACTAAACGCAATATGTCTGGCCATAAAATAAATTTAAAAAAAAAAAAAAACAATTAATTAAAGAGATAGATTAAAGCGAAAATGTATAGAAAGTGAACTATCTTCTGAATCTTTCGGGATTAATTTCTGTCCAACATTATACAACATATCAGTTAAACTAAACTATAATTATTAGAACGAGGGGGTAGTTTACAAAAAAAAAAAAAAAAAAAAGCAGAAACTGAATGAGGTTGGTTAGGTTGTCCATGTGGACGCATCAGGCAGCAGAAATTTAAAGTTAAGCGTCGCTGCATTTTCAATGTTTCTCTTGATATATAATTAGAATTGAAGTATTTTGTTTCCTTTCCCTACTTATAAACTGCCAGCATTGAAAACATTATTTATACTGAAGACATCATTTCAAATGACGAAATATGTAACACAGAATTGTTTTCTTCGTCTCTTCGTATCTATCTATCTATCTATCTATCTATCTATCTATCTATCTATCTATCTATCTATCTTAGCTTGCTCGTCTCTCTCTCTCTCTCTCTCCATCTATCTATCTATCTATCTATCTATCTATCTATCTATCTATCTATCTAACTTAGCCTGTTTGTATCTATCTATCTTAGTCTTTTCGTATCTACCTATCTTAGTCTGTCCGTATCTATCTCTCTATCTTTGTACGTAGCTATGTATCTATCTATTTCTCTCTCTCTCTCTCTCTCTCTCTCTCTCTCTCTATCTATCTATCTATCAATCTATCTAACTTAGCCTGTTTGTATCTATCTATTTTAGTCTTTTCGTATCTACCTATCTTAGTCTGTCCGTATCTATCTCTATCTTTGTACGTAGCTATGTATCTATCCATTTTTCTCTCTCTCTCTCTCTCTCTCTATATATATATATATATATATATATATATATATATATATATATGATGTCTAATTTTGTCAGTAGTGCTTGCATTAATTACTGACAACTGACAATCCCTTCCTGTTTTTCAATGCTTATCTTTTTTAAACCTATTATCAATGTATTTAAATCATATAATCACCTAATTCTGACAATATTGCTTGCCTTAATTACTAACCATTTTTTCATCGAATCTATTTGGTATATTTGCTTAGTGGCCTATTAACACCTTATGGGCCATTTAATGCCGAATTTTAATTGTCTTTGGAGCATTAATAATTTTCTTTGCAAAAATGTATTACTGGTAATTTTTAACGATGAAAATACATTTTGCTGTTTTTTTCACTGTAAAAATGTATTTTTATTCTTTCATAGAGTTTAGAACTCAGTTTTCCCATAGCTGGACCTATTGATGTTAAAGGATGAATGAAATGTCCTATAGCTGTTTAAATTTCTTTTATTTTTATTTCCCAAGTACTTTCGATCTTCTTCCAAGATCATCTTCAGGGGTGTATGTCTCTCATCATTTAGCATCAATATATGGAAGGTTATTCATCAGTATGAGCGGATTTTGTTAAGAATTAGCATAATGTCTGTAATTTATTCAATCCTATATATATATATATATATATATATATATATATATATATATTTATCTATTAACTATTGTTGCTCTATTTTTAATACGGAGCACTTTGTTTAGAAACAACTACAGACCATTTTACTCCAGTAATTCACTGAATTACGTGTTTTGTTAGGGGTTAACGACATTTGTGATATATACCCCCCACACACACACACACAACAAACACACCCACACGCACACACACACACACAAAATATATATATATATATATATATATATATATATATGTAATATAGATTTATTTTGGTGGCTTTAAAGTTTACAACCTATATATATATATATATATATATATATATATATATATATATATATATATATATATATATATATATATATATATATATAAAGAAATATAGTCTTAAGGTGTGCTATATTGATGGGATAAAGTGCTCAATATCAGAGATAGAGCGTGTGTAAATATAAAATTGAACATAGAAGTCAACACTTAGAGGCAACAGTCTGTTTCATGCTATATGCAATCGTCAGGCCACGTGTGCTGTTATTTTTCTCGGCTATTTATATATATACGGGTCAGTGGTGCATTGTGGGTAGTCTATTATGGCGGTTATTTTACCGGAAGTCGTTTATTTATTTATTTCGGTTAAATTATTTTGCTTGTTTTTATTTTTTTTTTTTTTTCTTATTTTATTTATTTATTTTTTAATTAGTATTTTTATTAACGTGGTAAAAATTTGTTTATATCACTTATTTAATCGTTTTGTTTTGGTTTGAGAATTTAATTAAAGCTATTTGTTCGATTTTGGGGTTGATTGTTGTAGTTTATTCTAACTATTATATATATATGGGTTTAAATTCTCCAAAACGAAACTGCTCTTTTTTAACTATCACAGATAAGAAACTTTTCTTGCCAACCATCGTCATGGATGATCATAGACTCTTGCAGATCGACACACTGAGACTTCTAGGCCTTTTCAACTGACTTGGAATGGACGACTATATTGAATCAATAGCTGCTTCTATCTCAAGGAAAGCTGGATCTCTGTATCGGGCCAGAAGGTTTTGTTTTTCTTATCAGAGCCTATTTTTCGCATTTACAAACCAACTATTCGTTGGTGCCATATCTGACCTGATGCTCTTGCAATTCGTCTCGAGGTTCTTGACAAAATCCAGTGACGGATCTGCAATATAATTGATGCTGACCTGGAATTTTGACCGATGTGACGTGGCTTCTCTCTGTCTTTTCTACAAATATTTTCATGGTAACTGCTCTGGCGAGCATTCCCCACCCCCTGGTGCCCCCGACTACATGAGTTTAAGCGTGCTACTAGATTGGCGCCTAGGTCCCACTCTTTTACTGTCGAAATAGTTAAATGTAACCGCTTCTTCTACTTCAACTTCTCGCCCTTCCCGTCTGTGGAACTCCCCTCCGTTTACTTGCTTCCCTGAAAACTAGTCTTCAAAAATTTAAATGATACGTCAATTGCCATCTTCTATCTTTTTGAACACCGTTCATTTTTATCCTTTCCTCACCTTTCCTTATGTCTTTTCACTTACTTTGACTCTCTGTAACCCTCTGCGTACTAGTGGCATTCCCGCCTTGGTGGGGGTGAATTTATTAATATATATATATATATATATATATATATATATATATATATATATACATACGTCTGTGTGTAAAGACAAAATTAAAGCTTTTCTTTACCAACACGTTTCGTCCTCTGTTGAACTTTATCAGAGCAAATGTAAGGATTTAATTTTGTAAACAAAAGTAAAAACTATCGTTAAGTATTGAAAATATTCAGAAATAAATAAAGAACTTTTTTTGTAAGCATTTCAACCCACGCAAGGTGGGCGTGTCACCAGCACGCAAGGGGTACCAGAGAGTAGACAACAAGAGTAAAGAAGCGTGTTTGATTAGAGGATAAAGAGAAGGACGGGGGAACAAGACTAAGGTATCAGAAGATGTCGATTGACATTACACTTGAATATTTGAAGATTATAGTTATCAGAGAAGCAAGTAAGAGGAAGGGAGTTCCACCGTTGGGAAGTGCAAGAGAAGAAGCTGTTGGAGTAGAAGAGACAGTTACATTTAACCGTTTGAAAGGCTGGGACCGAAACTCCAACCAAGTAACTCGCCTAAATTCATGCAGTTTGGGAACCAGAGAAAGCAACTCGTCAGAACAGTTGCCGTGAAAATACTTATAGAAGAGACAGAGTGAAGCCACGGCTCGTCTGTGAGAAACTGACTGTAGACTAGATGCCAGATCAGGACCTATCACATTGCATATCCGTCTTTGGATTTTGTCGATGAACTCAAGACTTGCAGCGAGGCACCAGATCATATATAACAACAATATTCCATGTAAGGACGGATGGTTGATTTATAGATTCGAAGGATGGAATAACTTACTCGCTCGACACAGAGAACCAACTTTCTTTGCGATAAATGAGGCTATTGAGTCTTTGATCTACTTCATATCAGCGGACAGCGCGAGACCAAATATGGCGCAACAATTTTATTTTATATTTACGGAATTTATTTCCTATTTGGAAGAAGGCGGTTTGTTCCTAATATAAGTTTTGAATTATTATAGTATCCTTCCCAAATACGTCAAGCATTTTTATGAGCCATGTCCTTTCCACCTCCCTCTATCCCTTGCAGCTCTCAACAAGTTCCTTCCCTCTGCTCCTTCCCCCAGACCACGTTCTGTCATCCACTTGCTTAAGCTCACCAGGTATGTCATGCGTTGTTTTCTCTTGTCTCTCTTTCCCTCTATTCGACTCGTGAGTATCAGATTCTCCAGGCCCTCCTTCCTCATTATGCGTCCCAGAAGCTACAGTTGCCTCTTCCTGATGTTAAGTATAGGCTCCTCCTTGTTTGCAACCTCTTTAAGACCTCATCGTTGTTCACACGTTCGGTTCATGATATCCTTAGCATCCTTCTGTAGAACCACATCTTCATCGCCTCGAGTCTAGCAATTGAAATATTTCTTTGTGACGTATTTTATCAAACGTTTTGCATAATCTATAAAACAGATACGCGTTTTTGTTGATCTTTCTGATATAATTCTAAGCATAAATATAGCATTTCTTGTTCCAGTGTCTTAAAAAAAACAGTCTTGTTTTTGTCTTCTTTCTGGGTTAATTCTGCTGAGCATTATATTCATCAGAATTCGGATAATCTGACATTTTTATTAGATCAATCGCTATTAAACTAGATACCACGTAAAGTTTCCAGAATGTGCAGACGAAACAGACGTAATAGACATTGTTTAATATCAATCAGTCAATTATGTGCCATACGTGATACACGCTTAGGCGATCATGTATCTTTCGATACATGACTGACGAGGCAGATTTTTTTCCCCATGTAGATTGCCATTTCTTTCTGCGGTAGACCAGTTGACATCCAAAGCTATAGAACCCAGCCTATTCTGCTATTCACCCATAACTGAGGTGGGGAGGGGGTGAAGAAGAGGATTCATACCTTTCCCAAGGATATTAGCACGTAAGTGAATGTAATGGATTCGACTGAAATTCGAACTCGGCTCTCCGATTCCTCAATCCAACCTGCTATCCATTATAGCAGTTTCTAAAGAAAAGGATGAATTTTGATTTTTTTTATGTATTAATCAGACAGATTTTATTATTTCAACGTTGTTTTTAGTGGACACTCACATTTCAGTAGACGCCCTGTTTAATTATTAAACAGTATATTTATTTGTTTTAGTCTACCGGCCTGAATATTCGAGAAATCTTTTTCAGATAAAAATATGCGTTCTCCGGCAGGATTCGCACCTGTGTTTCGCAAGGGGAAAACGTCATTAGATCTGATGTTCTTTAGACCTCACCGGAGTGTGTTGATCCGGTAAACGAAAATAAATGCCTATACCGTTTAGTAAATAAACAGGGCGTCTACTCAAATACGAGTATCCACTAAAAAAGTTTAAGTAATAAAAAGTTTTTAATAAACAAATAAAATCGAACGTCTATTTCAAATACGAAGTACCCACTATAATTACGCTTAATGTACCGAAATTTCTCGAAAATAATACGCATTTTTTATTGTAGATTACAGGTGATACTACGGGTGCGTGTTATAAATAGGTTTAAACAAAAATATTTTTTCGTTATTGATTTATAATAATAAATACATATTTGTTCTAAAATAAGAAAGAGATTATCTCAATTTTCATTTTAAATCCAACAATAATAATTGCAACATTTTTTTGTCAATAAATTTATGTTTATCAGTAACCGAATTTTTTATTTGGTAAAAATATATAAAAAGGCCAATTTCGAACAAAGGACGATATCAAGTTAACAATTTATTGAAATTTTAATTTTCTTCATCATCATCGCCACTTTCTATTATAGAATCAATATCTAAATTTTCATTAAACAAGTTATCATTCACAATATTATCTTCGTCCTGTTCAAAATTATCTTCGGCCTCTTCATTCTCTTGTCAAAGGATGTCATCTTCAGAGCCATCCATGGCTGTCATGAGACAAAACTTCTTGAAACTTCTCTTTATAACATCGTCACTGACGGAATCCCATTTTGGCGGTAAAATAAAATGTTATATTTATCGTGAAAATCGCGATGGTAATTTTCAACATTATTTTAGCTGCTTAGTTTCGATTTTATTCTTAATGACAAAATGTCTCCTTAATTGTTGTTTTTTTTTTGACAAAATTTATAGAAGCGTATTATACATAGGGATAGATATATTTTTTTAAATTTTTGGATCATTCGTTGGGATGCTTATTATTTATGGGAGCGTATTATTTTCGAGAAATTACAGTAATAAAAATTGCCTTGTCTAAATTAAACTTACCCAGGCCTATTTTTCCAGCTTCTAATTTACTGCCAACTGCTCTCTATTACCCACCACAGAGAATCCCCCCCCGCCTGCCATTAAAATGTCTAATGTTCAACTCCACGAGAGAACATCTTTGTGACTGCTTGGTCTCATATTGTTCGCTGACCTGAGATGGAATAATTACATTGAATCAATAGCTTCATCTACCACAGAAAGTTTTTTTCCCATCCGAGTGAATCATACAAATCTATAAATCAACCATTCGCCCTTGCATGGAATATTACTGTCCTATATGGTCTGGGGCCCCCGCTGTTCGTCTTAGATTCCTCGACAAAATCCAAAGACGAATATGCAATGTGGTTGGCTCTGATCTGGCATCTCGTCCACAGTAACTTTCTCACAGACGTGCCATTGCTTCGCTCTGTCTTTTCTACAAATATTTTCACGGTAACAGCTCCGACGAGCTACTTTCGCTGGTTTCCAAACTGCATGAATTTAAACGTGTCACTAGGTTGACATCTCAGTCCCACCCTTTCACTGTAGAAACGGTTAAAATGTAGCCGTCTCTTCTACTCCAATAGCTTCATGTCTCGCACTTCCTGTCTGTGAAACTCCCTTCCTCTTACTTGCTTCCCTGGTAGCTATAATCTCCAACTATTCAAATGCAATGTCAATGGACATCTCCAGATGCCTTGCTCTATTCCCCGTTCTTCTCTTCATCCTTTCCTCTTTCACGCTTCTTTCCTCTTGCTCCCAATCCTCTGTAAACCATTGCCTGTTAGTGGCACTCCCGCCTTGCTTGGGGTGAAAGGCTTAAAAAAAAATAACTGTTTTCCTTAACTAGAATCTTTCATGATCGCCGCTGTCTATAGAATGTTAATGATTACAGATCATGCCACCATTGTTCGCCGAATAATGGCTAAGAATTAATTCAACAATAATCAGATATTTGGTTGATAAAAGTCAATAGGTTTGAAGAACTTTGGCCTACTAAGCTGAAAACCAAAGAACTGGAATAAAACTACAGAATGCATTGATCTCCGCCAGTGGTTCTTAAACTTTTTGAAGTCGAGACGCATTTGAAATCCTACCAATCATTGTAGGCGCACTATATACAAATTCCGGAAAAGAATATATTACAATGAAGTGAAATATTGCAGAAAATAAATAATACAATAAAAAATAATAAATGAAATATACCTTAAGTTTATTTATTCTTGTGTTTATGAAACATGAGCCTGATGAGTCTTAGCGAATTCTTCAATGTTTGGGCGTAGGTTTAGGGATAGGCAAACTCTCATTTCCTCCTCAATACATTGAAGAGTTCCTCTCTTTTTGCATTTTATTGTGGTGAGAACAGAAAAGCCTAATTCACATAAATATGGACGAAACTGGTACCGTAATATAATAAAGTAAATATATTTATTTCTTATATTTTGACACATATTTCTCTGGAAGATGCCAGGGCCCACCTAGACATCTTGCAGGACGAACCACTGATCTATGCGAACATGTGACACTGCATGATCCTTAGTATCCCTAATTCCCATATTATTACATGGGAAAAGGTGGAGCATATTCTGGCCTAGGCGGAGTATATCCTAAGCTAACACATTTCATACCCTTGGGTATAAACAGCTGACCTGGATTAACTAATATTCCAAGTATATTACTGGCCTGGGAGTATATTCTAGCTTGTTATATCAGTTTCTGCTTGAGGCAAAAACGTATATTTAGCGAGTGTCAAAACGTAAAGATACGCTCTGTCGTTATTTACATGGAAATTGCTTAGATGAACTACATTCTTTAGTTCCACCAGTTCTAACCCCTTCACAGCCAAGACCCACCATGCCACGCCTATTGTAGGGAACCACCCTCATTCCCTTTGTATTCCTCTGGTGAGTTGTAAGTTCCGTTCGAGTCGCTTCTTCCTACAAACCGCTGTTTTGTGGAACAGACTTTCAAGAGGATGTTTCCCCGATCACAACAATCTTTCCCACATACCCCCCCTCCCCAAAATATGCGTCTTAATCTCTGTTGTAACCTAGAAAGGATTACTGAATGATGAATAACGAAAACGGAGGTTGGAAATGAATGATAATCTTTATAGCATCAACAAAATATAATACTCGCCAGCGCCGTGAAGTAGGTAAACCACTGCTAGTGGGGGACTACTTAGACAGCATATTGCACCAACTTACAATAGCGTCCAATGTATTTATGAGGATTGGGGCATACCCATTAGTGTTCATAGGTACGGTATATAACACCATCTATCTATCTATCTATCTATCTATCTATCTATCTATCTATCTATCTATCTATCTATCTATCTATCTATCTATCTATCTGTTGTAACCTCGGAAGGGTTATTGAATGAGGCATAACCAAAATGGAGGTTGGAAATGAAATGGTAATCTTTAACACATCAACAAAATACAATACTCGCCAGCGACATGAACTACGTAAGCCACTGCTAGTGGTGCACTACTTAGACTGCATATTACTCCCACTTACAATAGTGTGCAACGTATTTATGAGGATTGGGACATACCCATTTGTGTTCATATGTACGGTATATAACACTCTCTAAGCGTCTACTTCGAGTGGCTCTTGGGCCTTGTACAAGATGAGCATCATTGTAAAAAGAAAAACATAAGAAAAATCGGACGATTGATACCAAAGATGCATACATAAACACGGAAGATGTCTCTTTTTGGAGAGAGATCTTACACTTTTTGAAGACAATGCAAACTGCGTATTCTAAGTTCTGTCGAAATGGTTATGATTTCTAATCTCGAGATAACTATCAACACAGACAGACTGAGATAGGTCAGAATCAGTACATTTATGATGTAACGATATGTTTAATCCACTTTTTAAAAAAAACATTTTAAAATAAGGCCCAGTTCTCTTACAACTAAATCAGCGTAGAGGAGAGTGACGTCATAATTTCACACGCTGCAGTGGAAATTTTACAAGTGCCAAGTTTCTCTCTTCTTTATTTGCCCCAACGATTTATATTGATGAGATCAAATCTTTGGAAAGAGGTCAATGGACAGTTTCAATTTCATGTTAACCACGCCGGTTATATTTGTTCATGGTCCGAAAAAAGATTTCGCATTACCGACACTATTTCTTGTTTATACAACATTATTCTAACAATCAATGAAACACTCCGCTTAACTATACACACGTACACATTTTTTTTCAGAAGTGAAACGGAATGCAGGTTCGATACACGCCGAAAGCTACATATTTTTAACCCTTTGATCCCTACGTTCCAGAACAATTTTAACCCTTCTGTCTGAGCTCCTGAGTCAAAACACGCAAATAATTGGTATGTAATATTTCACGGTAGATATAAAAAAAGTTTCAAGTGTTTACCCACCGTTCAACCGGTGCCTGGGCATTACGTCATTTTTCACTACCACCGTTCAACCGGTGGCTGGGCATTAAGTCATTTTTCTCTAACACTGTTCAACCGGTGGCTGGGCATTAAGTCATTTTTCTCCACCACCGTTCAACCGGTGCCTGGGCATTACGTCTTTTTTCACTACCACCGTTCAACCGGTGGCTGGGCATTAAGTCATTTTTCTCTACCACTGTTCAACCGGTGGCTGGGCATTAAGTGATTTTTCTCTACCACCGTTCAACCGGTGGCTGGGCATTAAGTCATTTCCATGGACATCACTCTAAATGATTAACCCTTTGAGCCCTGCGTTCTTGAACAATTTTAATCCTTCTCACTGAGCTCCTGAGTCAAAACTCGCAAATAATTGGTATGTAATGTTTCAGAGTAGATGTAAAATAGTTACAAGTCTTTACCCACCGTTCAACCGATGGCTGGGCATTAAGTCATTTTTCTCTACCACGGTTCAACCGGTGGCTGGGCATTAAGTCATTTTTCTCTACCACCGTTCAACCGGTGGCTGGGCATTACGTCATTTTTCTCTACCACCGTTCAACCGGTGGCTGGGCATTAAGTCATTTTTCTCTACCACCGTTCAACCGGTGGCTGGGCATTAAGTCATTTTTATTTACCACCGGAAAGCGGTGATCAGGCTACAAAGGGTTAATAAGTTTTTCGGTGATCTAGGCCGCCAGACGTAAAATTTCACTGTGTGTAAATTCAAAATAGATGTCTACTCAAATACGTGTGCCCGCTAAAATAATGTTTATTGCAATAAGAAATATTCTAACATTAAAATAATTTGTAGTCATTAACAAAAGTTTAAGACCATTTACGTGGAATAAGTTTTTTTTTCTTCTTTTGGATTACCTTGTATCGTATGAGCTTAATGAGTATCATATTGCATAATGTTATAGCGTTTTTATTGCATCGGCCATTATTCTGACTTGAGGTACGGCCAAAAACAATGTTATTTTCAAACTGGCAGCCATTGTGATAGGAATTCTATAGTGAAATAGGCTTAACAGTCGTTCCAAAACGGTGTGACGCCCACCACCCATAGGTGCGTCGGAAGAGGATAGCAGTGGAGGCGGAATGATTGAAAGACAATCAAAGATTTAGAAAAGAGATGTTAAAAAAGCACATTGTTGGAATTTTTGGGTACCCTGGTGTACTAGTGAGCCAGCCAAAATGAGCTGACTCATTTTATAGTTCATCAATAGAAGGGTTAACCAATCAGAAGTCTCAAAATATTCAATGCGATGTGTATAAAGGCGGTCATGTTTTTCCTGAATATGCACTGCCAGCCAATGATATCGTAGATTGGAGAATTACGGAACAGCTGCTGGTGGTATTGGCGATATAGTCAGATTCAGTAGTGTCTAACTCGTGAGTGTTAATCTTTAACGTTGTTTTATTGAACAGATTACGTACTGCGCTGTATTCTATATTCATAGACTATGGTGAACATGGTCAACGCACATGAGATAGACAGACATGCAGCTCATGTGTGTATATTATGTATGTAGGTGTTAACAGTATATTATGCATATAGGTGTTAATAGTATATTATGTATGTAGGTGTTAATGGTATATTATATATGTAGTTGTTAATAGTATGTATGTAGGTGTTAACTGTCTGTTATATATGTAGGTGTTAATAGTATGTATGTAGGTTTTAACAATCTATTATATATGTAGGTGTTAATATTATGTATGTAAGTGTTAATGGTTGTTGTGCTGTCCTCCCTCTAATGAGTCTATTGTGGACTCTTCCACTTACTATAAAATTAGTAGGAAAGTAAGCCTCGAGGGGACGTTCTAATAGACTGAATGCTGGTCAACCGACACCCACTCACAAGTCGTGTGATACTCTTCTGTTGTATTTACTGTTCAATACCGATTTATCTGAAACCTCTTGTTTTGTTATTTCTTAACCATTTACTTGGTTACAACAATGGTATATTATGTATGTAGGTGTTAATGGTATGTCTGTAGGTGTTAATGGTATGTGTGTAGGTGTTAATAGTAAGTATTCAGTCAGTGAATAATGACTTCAGAATATAAACTGAGAAATATGTAAGATATAAAAATGAAGAAGACAGGCAAAAAGAGTGAGACATGTGAGAGAGGGGGACAAACAGACAAATAAATTGAGAGAGAGGGAGATAAAGAGAGATATAATGTATAAGAGAGGGGTAAGAAGGACATAAATTGAAAGCCAGGGAGAGAAGAGAAGTGGAATGTGCGAGAGAGAATGGTAAAAAAAAAAAAATAGAATAAGAAAGAGGGAGAGGGCAAACAAAATACATGAGAGGGGGAGGAACAAAGAGAATACATAAGAGAGAGGAAAAAGACAAAAAAAATCTGCAAGTGTAAAGGTACCCAAGTGTAAGGCAGTGCTTCCCAATCGGTGAGGCGGAAGAGGATAGCAGGTGAGGCAGAATGATTGAAAGACAATAAAAAATTTAGAAACAGTTTCAAAATATTCATACGATTTAAAATAAAAATTCAAAAATAAATATAATTTCAAACTTTAAAATATTATTATGGATTATTTGTAATTACATGCATGATTCCCAGTATAAATAGTTACAAATAATTATTGACCGATTTTATTATTGGGATATTTTTGCATTATATCAAGTATTAAGGATATAGTAACTAGGGTCTGCAAATTGTAGGAGAGAGTTATCAATGATAATGTTCTGACCTCTTAATCTGCGGTTATCTCCCTTTAACTATCTATCTATTTTTATTTAATTTTTTTTAATGTAGTTTTATCACATAAAACTAGGTGGGGCGCAAACTAATTTTTATTCCGAAAATGCAGCTCAGAAGAAAAAATGTTTGGGAACCACTGGCTTAGATTATGGGCAAAAACCCCCCCTTGACTTTAACCTATACGGATTTACCAAATTATAGCTCTACAAGATGAAATGGGTACTTAGTGCACAAGTAATTTTGTATCAAAAGAGATTTGCACAGTGCTATTGTGAGTTTCCAAAATTCATGGACATTTAGCGACAAAGAGAAAAATGGTCATCCGGCAAGAACCAGCACTCGAGATGACCATTTGTTGAAGCACATTGACACACGATCCTCAACAAATACTTGTAAGAAGATATGTGCTTCACTGTTTGATAATGCTACAAATGTCACTTCTCTGATAGTTTTACGTTATCTGAAAATTGAGATTGGTCTGGAATCATTGAAACGAGCTCATAAACCATGGCTAAATTCAGCTTTGAAATTCAAGAGTCTGGCATTTGCTGTGAAACCTGAAACCTGGACAGCTGAAAAATTATGATTTAAGATGTATCTACTCTGCAGAAGTATCTAATGCATAAAAGAAAAGAAAAAAAAAAACAGAACACATTTGGTAAGAGATTTGATGGAAAGGATCTAATTCAGTCTATGAAGCACCCACTAAGCTAGATAATTTGGAGTGTAATGTCCAAATCTGGAAAGGGCTGAATTTCTTGTCGTCGGGAACATCGATAAATGGTGCAACGTATGTGCAACTACTGCACGATAAACTGTAACTGCATATGCACATTCATAAATGCACAGTATTTATGCATGGTGAAATTATGCAGACGGAACAATTATAGAGTCGTCCATGGTTGTCCTAGCACAAAATCACAAGTCATCGTGACTGAGGCTTTAAGCGTACTGGTCTTGTTCAGACTATCGATCACGCAAGATAATGCGATCTCTCATCCAGAAACTGTAGCTAACCTCCGTACAGAATAGTTGCAGTATAATCCACAGGTGGTGGGTCCTGTCGGTGTTGAACAAATGTGCCTGAGCAGCTGTCTGAAACAGGGATTGGTTAGCCTCCCTAGTAAACAGGCATACAAACGGCCACTCATTACATCATATTATATTATAATGGCTGCTATTAGTTCACGTTTCGGATATGAAATTAAAAGCTTTTAGATAT